CAGGGTTTGCACCCACCTTGGGGGAGGTGATTTTGATGTAGACGATGATGGGGGCCAAGGAGGTCTTGGCCAGCTGGGCCGGGTGGTTGATGGTGTCAGCGTCCAAGGCCACCAGCTGCAGCGTCCGGGCCAGCTCGAAGATGCGCTCGGTCTCACTCTGGACCTCAGCTGGGGGGGCAGGGAGCCACTTGCAGGGTCAGAAGGACAGGAGAGCACGTGGGGGCTTGGGAACAACTGCTGGGAGATGTGACATGGGGAGCAGGATGAGGACAAGATCAGGAAGAGTCTTGTATTGGTGCTTGGCCTCTCCAGTGTCATCCCAGCCCCAGGGATTTGGGGGGGGTCACTGCAGGAGGGATGTGGCAATGGGCACCCAGTGCTGACACTGGCTGGGTGAGGAAGGGGAAAAGTCCCCCCCCAAGACCACAAGCACTTGGGGTGGGTGGTCAGACAGGAATGTGTGACCAGGGTGTCCCAGAGCTTGATCATGCTCAGGCAGGGGAGCTGGGGATCCAAGGGGATGTGTCCCCTGTGTCCCCCCGCTGGGCAGGGGCTGCCAGGGGTCCAAGCTACATACCCAAGACATCTGTATCAGGAGCAGGGGAGGAAGGAAGCGGCACGGAAGGGAGGAAACCCAAATGAAAGGAGGAAAAGGCAAGGAGAGAAAAAAAAAACAACAGAGAGGAGATAAAAGGGGAGGAGGGGGAGAGAAGCTGAGTCAAACCAGCCAGGGGGAGCGCAGGGCCCCGAGTCCCCCCCGTGTTAGGCACCCCATGGCAGGGGACCCCCACACCACATCCCACCGAGCTGTGCCCTGGTGTGGGTGGGATGAGCACCCTGGGATGGGTTGGGGGACAGGAGGCTGTGAGGTTGATACAGATGGAGGCTTGGGGGGCTCCCAGGGGGGGCCAGCCCCCTTACCCAGGCTGGAGCGCGTGCTGGAGCGCTCGATGATGGTGTGTTTGCTGGGGTTGTTGAGCACCGAGCGCTTGGCCAGGGAGATGTCAGCAGTCACCCGCGTGATGGAGATCCTGGGAGGTGGAGAGGGAGAGAGCAGGGTGGGGGGCAGGGGGTGCAAACCCCCCCTGGACACACACACCCCCTTGGGGAGCAGGACAGGACCCTCCTGCCACCCCCTTGCGCCGGGCTGCTTGGAGCTGGAGTCGTGGGATTCCTGCT